TGACTGTTCGAGCTAGCTATGCGTCTGCATCAGTCGAATCATGGCGTGGCAACAGTTAAAATCGAGCGAACTGCGTAAGTATCTATCTAGGCCGTTTCAGCAGGACAACTCACCACTGATCAGTTATAGCAGACATCAATACGGGTTCCGGCGTTGTGCGCACGCATGCTATTCCTTAAATAGAAACCAGATTGGCTGGATCAAAAAGTAGCTGCCGTGACCAGGATTCGAACCTGGGTTATTGCGGCCACAACGCAAGGTACTAACCACTATACGATCACGGCTACACACTACGTGATCAGAGCACGACAGTTCCTCGTCGTTGTCAAAAACAGTGAAGTAATAACAATTTGCATGTCCCTAGCCAGATTAGAACTAGTACATAGGGCGAAGATCGGTGCAGGAATGAAGATTGTGACAAAGAATTTGCGTAGGTAGCAAATTTAAGGTGTGCTGATTAGAAACTGAAGACAGACAAATTGATAAGAACTGTTGGGTTTATTTGTTCTTTCATATGTTCCATAGTATACTGGCAATGATTTTGTAACAGCCTTATATATATATATATATATATATAATGACCGATTTAATATTAATAAAAAGCGACACAACTTGAATTCCCAGCACGATCGTTATAGACAATCAGGCCAAATTCATATCTAATTTTAAATACAGAGTTTTTTTTGGCGTTACACACAAAGCCTTCTTTGTTGACCCCGATACATATGCGACCCTCTAATATAACCTGTGGCATTATTATGCAACGTGTTTATGCATACAATTAATTTCTCTGTTAGTATACACAGTTTGCTGCTTATGTTCGTACAACGAATGTAAAAAAAAAAAGTTTTGATAAACAATTGAAAATTGTTGTAGAAAAAGTGATTGGAGGTGCGGGGTATCGATCCCCGTACCTCTCGCATGCTAAGCGAGCGCTCTACCATCTGAGCTACACCCCCTCAGGTACCGATAGCTCAGAATATCGAAATGGTATCAGCTAAAATTCTTTAGGAGACGAAATAGAAAGCAAAGCATTCATAATATAGCTCAAAAAATAAACCGCGTCAATAAGAGTAGTTGCCATTATTATTCAACAACTAAATTTGCAACCAAACGAACTAAATTGATGATATCGCCTACTATATGGACTGCACCCCTGGAACACAGCACATAGGCCACGTGCATATCCGCTTACCTATAGCAATGGCCTGCCATGGTCTGAATTGTCGGGAAAGTTCGGCGCAACTTCAAAAACAGACAAAAATCACATTCTGATATGTCTACTTTTGTTTCATTTGCACTTTGGAAAGTGGTGATGAAAACTGAAAATATATTTTTCATATATCGTTCTCGCATGTATTATATATTATTTTCTAATTTATTATGATACATAGGATGATATGGTATGTGTTCAAAAAAAGACTTCAGGGCAGTCATCTATGTCGCATTGTGCACGTACCACCTCACCTTAGATGACTAAAGACTCCGTATCCTTTTCTCAGCTGAGTTTGCGCCCAAATTAAATAGGAATAAATCGGTCAAATTTAATAGAAACTATTAATCATTAATCACCAAAGAAAGTTTTGTAAACGTTCTATTTTCCTTGGAACAATATTCTACTCTACACGATTGCAATAAAGACCAATATATATACATATATATATATATATATATATATATATATATATATATATATATATTGAATATAATAACGCAAAGATACGCATTTATTATATTCAGCAAACAATTTCTTCGAGGCCAGTTCCACTTATCCGCTTTGTGGTTACCATTCACCGCTCTTTTACATATCCCTCGGTTCTCTTGATTTCCTTCATCTCTAGTGATTTTTCCATCTTGTCACTTTTCGACTTCTCTTCCGGTTTCAAATATATATATATATATATATATAATCGTATACGAACCCTGTAGCGGTACACATTCTGTCCATTGGATCTCTTTATTGTGACGCGCATTTGACTCGTATGTAGATTTGTAAACACGTACGATATAATCACAAAAGCGTATGATTGAGGGCGAAACTTCACAATGTATCTCATTCCCCACTCGTCAAAAACAACGAACCAATACCAAATGGTCTAAAAAACGTGACACGTCACTACCACAAAGCATGTTATTATTTGTATGGCTCGTCAACTTTATCATATACTATTGTCGTCGTAGATGCAAAGAATAATTCAGTGATCGAAGTCCATGATGATCCAAGTTATATTCCTCGGCGACGACATATGATCGTGACAATTCTGCATGTTTTTTCCATTTGTTTGTCTCTACAAAAAATGACGTCGTGATTTTGCATGCTTAAAAAACTGCCTGTTTAGTGACGATGAAGGTAATTAATGATCATATTGTACATAATACCATGTTGGCAAAACGAAAATAGCTTAACTACGTCTTCAGTAGTAAAAATCGAAATAAAATATTAATTAATATAGGATTGTATACTGAGACTGCTGTAATAAATAGCAAAAAAATACAACTATAATAGAATAACTTACTACCTGGCAATAATATTATACAGAACGTACTAATTATTTGGATTTCGTATGGGCCAATTTTTCGTTCCCATAATATATCTATGTACATTCCACCACATCTTACCTTCGTATTGACAGCAGCGTGTATAGAAGCGTAGTTCATCGTTACATTTGGTCAAACTCGCTTTAAATAAATGTCTTCTACTATCTCTTTCTTATTCTGCGAGTAATTTTTGTCCCGACGACAGAGTACACAGGTGACAAAACAAACAAATGTTCCGTTCATTGCCATCATCATATCATGGCATCATAACATACAGGTATATGCAATATCGTCTAGTAAATATATAAAGCACGGCATTTCTAGCTAGTTGTCTTTTAATATTGTATAAAGCTCAAGACCCATCCCGAGTCGGTCCTCGAGCATGTTACGGCCAACGATTATAAAGCTTACGAGCTGCTGCTCTTTGATCTGACGCTGCGCGAACGCCCTAAAAACTTTTTCGTTCACCAGGGAGTCAGAAAGACAGTTGTTTCATTTGTTTCGTTCAGCGACAATGATAACACTTGTTTGTTGTTTTTCAGTTATCGGGCTAGCAAGGATTATAGTAACGCTTAAGTTTTAGTAGAAATCTAGTGAGATGTCGTATCTCGAAGCGGCTTCCGTAGCACGATGGTCAAACGTGCTTAAGACTGGCTTGTAACTGATTGCATAGAAGGCAGTTACGCGGCGGGTGTCGTTATGCAATTGGATTTTATGGACACGTTGGTTTCATTTATTTATAGTACTGTAATTGTTTGTTTATAGAATCGCACGGTGAAGGTAATGAGCTGGGCGGTTGTAAATGATAAGCCGCTTGTTGTTTCCATTATTATTTTTCATAGTAGTCAAGGAAAAAGAAAAAGAAAATTTTAAGGTATTTCGTAAAAAACACGCTCGACAAAAAACGCTGAATTAAACTATCGAATATCGATACCTCGAAGCATACTGTAAGCTTTTCATGAATAAACTGCGATATCACGAAACTCATATAACTGCGTATTGAACATTCAAACACTTGTAACCTTACAAGGCTCAGAATTGTTCTCGTTTCTTCTATCTGTTAGAAGCGTTCCTTTGTGCGAACGCTTTGCGCTGGATCCCATCATCATTTTGGCTAACATTGTTTACATGGCATACTTGCAACTGGATGTAATTTTTCCAGGCCATTAAAAATCTGATTTGTGTTTTTTTTTTAATGTGATTGTGGGTTCCTAGATGCACAACTGGCACAGGCGCCACTTATTTCAGCCTAGACTTGCGCCATTCATCGATGACACTTACATTCATTCGTATCCATGTGCGCGCACTGCCGCTCACATGTCCTTTAGGCAAAAGCAACCACACAAAGGCTTCCCGACATGGAAAAAAAGGCTTTTATGTACTCTATTTCGGACGGACTCTGTTATAACCGTAGTGGCCCTTTGATTTTGTTTCTGAGCGCTTTTTTTCCTTGACTGGTATATTCTTCAAGATACTCATGTTGTTATGAAAAGTCCAACAAGCATAACGTATATAAGAGAACTGTGTTGTACTAAGAGTTGCAATGCCGTCCTAAAGCTGACCACTTATCGAATATAGGGTACACAACAGCTAAGTTACGTACACACACACAAACACACGCACGCCCACGAAGCCGTGTAGAGTCCTGAGGAAATATCTGTGGATACGCACATTACGCATGTTATTTAAGGCATGGACATACTTAAAGGCAAGCATTGGTGGTGAACGATTTATAAATAGAGCCGTATTTTGGTCTTCTGTTTCGGAGTTACTCCGCTGGATATACATACGTGATGGGACAAAAATCCCCTGACAGTTCGAAAAAACGTGCGCCCACCATTTAGTAGAATACACTTTACGTGTTTTTTAACACTTATGTTTACTACTACATATTACTCACCCGCTACTTGAACAGATGTAAAATGAAAACCCTTACGAGTATCATGTGTCCTTTGCCCCACCCTATATATGTATATATCCTCCTTCAGTATAAACCGTGTGTTATGTGTGAACCTATTTTTGTTTCAGGTGCCACATAAATAAATCAGCTTCTACGTTTAATTTTTTAATTTAATTTAAAACTTCAGAATCATGTGTTGAATGTTTAACCCTTCGTCTAATAGCATTTTTAGAGACCACGCGGTTTTTATTCGGAAAACACAGATTTTGTTCCCTTGAACCCTCCTCGCTTTCATAATCTCTCCGACATAAAGAGCACTTATGTACACCCAGTCACGAAAACATTCTATTCATATACGTAGTTATACACTTGCTGAAAATTCGCGCCGCCCCATGAGACATTTAGGGATTACGGTCGCATAAATTTTCACCATCAGGAAGCTGAAGCCGGTAAATA